AACAATTATGAAAATCAAAATTTGTCCTTTTGACCTTGCTTCTAGGAAATTGGGTTGTACATTTCTCTTTAATTCAGTAGACAGTCATTGCCTGTTTCTGTATCTTTTCTCTACAATATATTATTCTATTTAAATATGATTTTAGCAATCTATATACATATAGTTGTCACTAACTATCTTCACTTTTTTAAAATACAAAGAACATGAATAAATAAATGGGGGGAAAAATGTCCTTCTTTCTTCCCTTTTGTTAATAGCAGAGATAATCCACTCTCTTGGTCTTGCTCAAATAAAACCATTTCTATGGAGACATTTTTTACTTTTCAAACACAAACTGACTCCCTTTCCTATATTCCAAGAACACAGTTGAATCATCTTATAGAATTTAAGTATATATTAGTCTCACATATGAAGTAACATTGAGAATTTTTAAATGTATTTATTTGTTTAAGGATTTAGAGACAGACAGAAATAAAAATAATGTCAAGAAAGACCCAAAACCAAGGATAATAATGACAAAATGTTGCTCCATTTCAGGAATTAATACGCTTCTCCTTTTAAGTCATGACATTCTGAGACTTTACTGAATCTCTATGCTGCGGGGATTCAAGTATGGATCACAATTCCTCCTCCATATTGATCCATCTGATATTCCATACCTCCACTTTCGTTTTTTGGTTTTTCTTTTACTATGTCAAGTGACTATATATGTATAATACAAATCAATTAATAAATTCATATTACCATATGAAGAAGAATAGCAATTATTATTCTTTACTGGGTGTTTATTTCTTCCTCAATTAGTTTAAAATCTCTCTAAAGAGAAGGATTATATTGTTCTTAATTTTTATCCTTCATAGGAGATATTGCTGGAAACAAGTGTTATATATACTATGATTTATCACACCAAAGTTACATTTTTGTCTCATCTGGTAATACTGGATGCATTTTTATTGCATAGATAATACCATTATAAGAATTAACAAGTCTCATTAACCATTTCTAATAAACTAAAAATAAATGTAGGTGTTCATTGAAACTGATATGCGGTAAAGTTAACAAAAGCTTGTTTTAAATGAATTTGTCATACATGACATTACATAGTAAGTTTAGTCTTATTCTTTAAATAAAAATAGATGGGCTAGCACTTAAAATGATTTTTACCTAGATGGATGGTACAGACAGATATTAGAAGACTAAGTCAAACATTTAATTAGACTCTTATGAATTTCCCAAATTTTCAAATAGTTATCAGCAGTACTTACAAAATCTTTAAAACAATTTTTCCTAAAATAAATCATAGGCTTGAATTATGAACACATAATTGCCTCTAAAATTTACATATCAAGATAAAAGTAACAGCAAATTTCCATCAGACAAAAATCTTATGTTTTCCTAAATTAGATTCCAGCAGTGGTATACAACTTTCATTTTTTTCTCTAAAAATAACATATCAATTTATTCTAACTTAAGAGACATGTTTGAAACACATTTTAACATTCAATTAGTCCATGTATTCTTTTCATTTTTGGGATTTGCAAATATATGTTTATTGCACAATATCTCATCCTAAAGTGAAAAAAACATATTATCTCCCAATTCTTATCTATAAGTACACATTTTTCCTATTTACAATCCTAACATTTATTATTACGCTTCTCTTTTAAAAACACATAATGAAACCATTTCTCCCTAACTTTCTAATACTATACTTTTCATTAATTATGTATTATAATAGTAAAAATAACTATTAATAATTATTCTGAATATGTTTTAAAGCACCATATAACAATAGATGACAAAGGATGAAGAGTTAATACTGGCGAAGAACATATATAATCAAATGTGGAAAAAAAAGACTAAATGTTCATTAGAACTATGAGACTGAATGAAGCTCTAAGATAAACCTGAGACAGTGAAGCTAGCAGGCCAAGCCCTGTAGCCCCTTAACTTCTTACTTAATCTTATGAGCAATTTTTAATAATTGCTCTAATCACTACCAACAGCATTTCCCATGCATTAACAGTGACAGTTCATGTTTCCACTTCAAAGGAAAGCCCAAAATGCTTTTGGTTGAGGAACTGATTCCAAACTATTCCCAGCTTCTTCAGAGCAATGATGTCACAGGAGCTATTTTTATTTGCAAACTATTTCTACTTTGTAATAAACAAAATATTTTGTCTTAACACAACATGTTTTAAACTGAAACTAGGCTGCTGGATAGCTGTCTGAATTTTATGACTAAAGCATTATCACATTTTTACTTATTGCTAACACTAACAAATAACAAAACAACCCTGTAAATGCATCTCCTCTTGAAAGATTCAAATCACTACTAATTACATTGCCTTTTTCAGACAGCTTGAGTTTTTTCTGTCAATCATCTCAGAGCAATGGTACCATAATTAGCCAATTTGTACATTGGACCCCAAAACTCATTTCTTTCACACCAAAACATTCAAATCAAAACAGAGCCCAGGATCTTCTCAGATGTGAGATCAATTCTTATTTTTACTTGATTCTTATTTTTACTTGATTCCTAGTGCAAACAAAGAGCGATGCTTTTGGGTTCGAGAACCCTTGGCTTACCTTGTTACTGTTAGACACATTGTGAACGACAACAACTAAAACCCTACAGCCTTTATTGTACTCTGCCAGCTGAGCTGTTGATCTGGCTGTGGTAAGCCACCCAGGCGAATTGTGCTGAAATAAATGTTCTGAAAATTTCTTTCTCATGAATCGATTCACTTAAATATATTTTCATAAAGATCAACACATATTTTAGGAAGAAAGTGACCAGAATGTATCAATTCTAAAACAAGTGTTTCCAGATGCCTCTAAACGTGTTTGAGTAAGAGTCTTATATGCTTTCATGGTGAGAGGAGATCTATAAAGGACAACTGATTTGTAGTAGTGATTGTTAGGAGCCAACTGATATTAAACTCTAAACAAATACTCAACTCTGGGGAAATTATCCATCATCAACACCAACAACCACTTGCCATTTTTCAGACCAAACAAGTGATTAAGTACTTCATGGTTTAGCTGGATAATCTGCTGTCCTTCCACACAATCATTCTAAGTGTGGCATTTAAAGACAGGATATCAGCGTGAATATAAGATTCAAATCCAATCAAAATCAAGTCCTCATTAGTTCTAATATATAAAACTATGGCACAATGTACATGATAACATAGTTCATTTGATGAAATCTTACTTCATGTTTAAATGATATCATAATAAGGCAATATAAGATTTGGTCAAAATATTTTTTAAACATCATCATACACACAGGCACACACAAACACAGCTAAGTGGATGTTCAAGTCCTTAAGAATACTCTTTGTAACTTCAAATTTCAAATTAGCAACCTTATCACTGCATCAAAATTTAGAAATCGAGAAATCCTAAAAAAATATGAAATAATAAAAATAACTGAAAATAAATAGCACTAAAATTAAATGAATTCAAATATTCATGATTCACACATTGAAATGTTCCATAAGAAACAAATGACACCACCAAACTATTTAAGAATCATTATGACCATCTCTATAAATCTTCTAATATACAGAGTTTTCACAGAGAGGAAGACATTTAACCCTGTCCACTAAAATTATAAGAACATCTGAAGCAACCATAATTAGATACTATGGAGGAAGTAATGCATACCGAACAAAGCTATGGAAATAATTTATATCTACATTGATTCAATGCATCTATTATATCATCCTTGATGCTCCAAATTTAAAATAGAAAACTAGAAAAGGATCAAGATTTCAACTTTGCATGGCTAAAATATCTTGTTCTTCAAAACATACAAATGATTTACAAAAATTATTCTCTTTTTATGTTTTGAGAGTAGTATAAATGTAAGATTATTATTACACAAGAGTTAGAATATTAATAATGCCAATGAGGAAAACAATTGGTTTCTCAATGGCTTAAATATATAATATTAACAATTATTATAAAAGGCAATATAATTGAAATTCATTTTTTAAATATTTTAGAATAAAGAATAAAAAAGAAAGGTGCCTCTTTGTGTCAAATAACATTATAAATTATACCTACTTAACTGTACAGTATGGAATAAGACTCTGAGAACAATGAAAATATTAAAAAATAAAATCATTTTTGATAACTTGTACCATTTCAGCAAATACTAAAATACTACAGATTTATTGAATTATATAATAATTTTACTTGTCAGATTGTGATAATACTAAAATATATTAAATTTATACAGGTAGAATAGCATAGCAAGTTTACATTTTTAAGTTGGTTATTTCATAAAACAACAGACTTGCTTCAGAATACTTAGTTATTTTGCAAATAATATTTCTCTACAGATATCTTCAAACCAATAATGTCCACTCTGATTTTGCTCTATATATACACAATTATTTAATTGAACACTTTGTCACTTGATAAACTCAATGCATGTTTTTCAAATAAAGTAATTTAAACAAATACATTTAGACAAAATATTTCTAATTATTATGACATACTATAAACAAAACAAATCTATACCACATTGGCAAATAATTTTGTCACAAAGCCAGTCTACACATATATTCTTGAAGATGATAAAAACGTGTTTCTAAGCTCACAGAAAACTTCAGGGGATTTTTTAGCATTGTAAAAGAGAAAAGGAAAGAAAAAATTGCAAAGAAACTAATTCTTCTTCAGAAAGGTCCTGCCATTGTTACTTACAGAGATCTACAAAGCCAAACCTACAATGCCAAGAACATTCCTCAACAAGGCAAAGACTTCCATTACCTTTTACCTTTAAATCTTAGACTCAACCCTACCTGTCTTTCACCTAGTAACTCATGAACACTTTAGACTGTCTTAAAAATATCAGAAATTTTGGTTCAAACAAGTCAATAAGCATAGAATAATGAATGCAACAAAGCAAAGCATAACAAAAGCCAAAACAAAACTATCACATATTTCATGGATTAAAGGTATTAAAAAAAAAAAAAGAGATTTCTTACCAAGTACCCCAAGTCGGTAGTTGACTGTGATGACGATCACATTGCCATAACTTGCCAAGACACTCCCATCATATAAATTTCCAGTACCTTCCATATAGGAGCCACCATGGATATACACCATCACTGGTTTAGGACCCCCACTGTCCCGAATATCTGAAAGAACAAATGTTTGGCAATTGTTCTTATCCTCAAAAAAAAACCACAAAAAAAATATAATAAAGCAGAGAACACATTTTCCACTTTAGGGACAAGAGGTCATGGTGTTTATTTAGTTATTTAAATTGCTGTTTTTGTTAAAGTGTTTCTTAAGCAACTCTTCTGAAGAGCTGTTGCAGAAAAGAACAATATCCATTTTTTTTCTATCTAAAATTTTGTTTAAAGCTATAAACTGAATTACAGAACTTAAACCAAAGGAAAATAGGCGTGAGTTTTACTGTTGTGTGATGAATTTCTAACATGACAACAGAACCAAAAAATATATATAAGAAGAACTACTTTTTAAAAATAATTATAGACCTCAAATAAAATGTGTAAACCATAAACTAAGGCCAAAAGTATCACTTCTATTGTGACTAAAACACTGTTTCCATTTTTGATAACTGTAAATATTTATATTGGATGCATCATAATTACACTGAATAATTTATGCTCCATTTGTGAAGATAATTACAACACTGTATTATATGTGGTAAAAAGTTTCATTTCGCTTCTCAAGGACTATCAGATGCATGTGTAGGCAATAAAAGCATGTATTTCTATACTTCTGTTGTTGCATTTATAGGACTATCATTTAAATAATATATTTCAGTTAACTGCAGGTTATCTGCTCTTTATACCTATCCTTACTCTTTGTAAAAAGGAAACAGATTAAAATATATTTTCACCTCGTTGCCAAGACCAGTTTGGCTCAATGGATAGAGCATCGGCTTGGGGACTGAAGGGACCCGGGTTCGATTCCGGTCAAGGGCATGTACCTTGGTTGCAGGCATATCCCAAGTAGGGGGTGTGCAAGAGACAGCTGACCGATGACTCTCTCTCATCGATGTTTCTGGCTTTCTATCTCTCTCCCTTCCTCTCTGTACAAAATCAATAAAATATATTTTTTAAAAATTAAAAAAAATAATAATAAAATATATTTTTCACCTCGTTAGCTATTATACTATTCTTATCTCTACTTTGGCTCTATGATTTTGTCATGCAGACATGAGGAGGATACAGCTTAGTCTAAATGTACAGTGCCAATATTTAAGGTGATGAAGTGATTTCTGCATCTCTGAAATTTAATCAAGTGTATTTTCTTTTCTAAGATACTTTCTTAATTATGTAATTTTCAACAAGGACCAAGAAATAATAAACAGGGTAGGGCAAAAGTAGGTTCACTGTAGCAAATACATAAAACACAGAGATTATTCGTGTTATCATTTATTAAATATTATAATATTTACAACCTACTGTAAACCTACTTTTGCCATATTCTACAAAAGAAAAACCTAAGAAAATCTAACTATTATAAAAAATAGACTAATTTCTATAGAAAACATGCTAAATTGTATATTAGCCAATATGGTTTTAACTATTGTATAGATTGAAACATAACATATGTATATATGAATATGAACACCTACAGATATAAAATATCATTATTACATAATAGCTCATGATCTCTTTTACCCACAATTGAAACAAAATTGTACCAAATGTGCTATTTTTTTTAATTTCAATATTAAAAGTGTCATTGAAAAGTATGGTTTTATTCCTTTATTTTTGACACTTTTTATCAAACTTAAATCTCCTACATATTTATGATTGAGGTTTCAGCTTCTAGAATGGGATATGATACAAGCTCATTGAAAAACTAGTGATTATTTAGAAGCTGCTTTATATTTCCTGTAAAATTATTTAAACTATGTATAAAGCCTGCCTTGTCTATTGGAACAATCTTCTCATGAAAAACCATACTAGGATCAGGAATTGCAGCTCAGTTTGTTTGTTCACAATCTCAAGTGAGGGAACTAGCTCATTGCAGAATTTAGAAACTTTTTAAAAGGGCTGTTATCAATTTGACTGAATACCAGTGTGTAAACTTGCACCAAGGGTGCACTTGAGAAGAATGTCTTATTTTTAAGTGGTGAGAGGAGGATTCTTTGACATAAAAACCGTCCACTAGACACAGCTGCATTTAGGAAGAAAAACTAACTTACTTTCTTCTTAAGTCCTTGGGAAGGAAATTAATATTCACTCATTTGCAAAAATTTGGGGGCATATGGAGTTGCTAAGTTTACACAGAGAAAATAACCCTTTTGAAAATTTTAAACTACCCTCCTTAAATGCCCAGTTGCCGCATATTGTTTTAGCTTGTTTTTCTACTATGGCTGGCGCTGAAGAAGCAATAATAAATTATTAAACTGAAATCATTAACTGACTGCTCACAGCAGACACTGTACTCTGCTAATTGTGTGCTGGGAGGTAGCACAGAAGGTGGCTGTTTCAGAATTCTTCTTTAATTAAAATTACATAGACTTACAAAACACCAACTGTGAACAGTAATGAGACCTTGGTAGATCCATTCTGTTCACCTGGAAAACAATACAGGCACACTTTCAAATACCTGCCACATGTTATACCTAAGAACAGGATGGAATGGACATCCTTCAGCCAAGGAAGACTGAAAATATGACTATAGATTCCAGGAACTATTTTGAGTGGTATTTCTCTCTCACTTTTTAATTAGATCTGAAAATGTTAGTGAAAGTTTGGACTAATTCTAAGTGTTTTCAAATTTCTCAAAGATTTCAGCCTTGCCTAAGAATATATTGAACAATTCTTTTTTACGAAGTGCGATAATATTTGAATGCAGTGTTCTGAACAATATCTCTTTTTGCTTAAAGTAACCATGAAATTAATGTTGTAGAGCGTATTAATGACCAAAGTAGGTAAAATTATTGTGCATAAAAAACTCTTAATATTGCCAATAAATTTTGGGGAAATGCTGACAATTAGAATTCTATGATAATATTTAATCAGAGTGGTCTTAGATTTGCATCAATAGAAGTTATCAGAGGCCTATCTTAAATTTTACTTTTCTCTATAGTTTACATGTGTTTTTTATTGTAATAATAATAATAAATAATAAATATGAATAGTCTAAATGACATCTGTATTTAATTTTGAAAAGAATCAGAATCTTTATAAATGAAACTGATATATCAGATAGCCTACTATAATATTAAGTACTATCTGCTAATGCCATCATTTTATTTATTTATTTTAAAATATATATTTTTATTGATTTCATAGGAAAGAAAAGGAGAGAGAGAGATAGAAACATCAAATATAGAGAATCATTGATTGGTTGCCTCCTGCACAATCCACACTGGGGATTGAGTCCACAGCCAGGGCATGTGCCCTGACAGGGAATCGAACTGTGACCTCCTTGTTCATAGATCTATGCTCAAACACTGAGCCATGCTGGCCAGGCAATGCCATCATTTTAATAATAAAATTTTGATATTTTACTATGTCACAGCAAATATACTAGATATACTTCAGGTATTTATACTTTATTAAAGTCAATTTGTCCTTCTAAACCTTGTTTCATATTTTTCCCTAGAAATAAGGTAGATTTCACCTAAGATTTCTAACTGTACCTAAAAAGCTGCTCCTGACTTCACTAAAATCAAATGAGCACACTTAGGCATGAAAACACTAGCTCAGGTCCACTAAAGCTACAGACATTCTGAAAGCATGTTCATATTTAATGTTTAATTTTTTACAGCTTTGCTAGGCATCTAGGTCCCTGAAAATAGTTAGATATTAAGAGGAAAATACTACACTGATAATTATTTTGGAATTTCAGTAACACTTTGGCTGTAAATTTGAGTATTTTACCTTTCCAATTAATCAAAAATTTAAAGACAATTTAATAAGTTATCAATAGATCTAAAAGACAATGAGGATATTTTTGTGCCTGATAACCAGTGTTTGCAATCACAATTCTTTTTAATGATCCTAATGAATAATTATTAGTCATACAACTTCTTCAGTATGCTTTACTGGTTAATGAACTCATAAAGTTTTTAATTGCCCATGTTTTAGAATTTTTGGCATTTACCAGTTTTACATATTGGGGTATTGCCTCAATTAAGTCTTTGCCTGGCCCTGGCCAGTACTTCTAGGTGGTTAGAGTATCAGCCCAAGCACCAAAGGGTTTGAGTCCTGGTCAAGGGCATGTACCTGGGTTGCAGGTTTGATCCCTGGCAACCAATTGATGTCTCTCTCTCACATCGATGTTTCTCTCTCTCTCCCTCCCTCTCTTTCTTTCTCAAAAAAAAAAAAAAAAATTCTTTCTCTGATATATTTCAAGATATTTTAAGATATTTTGTGCCCCCTTCTTATTTTGTGTATCTCAGTTATCACTTAGAACTAGCAAAATAATATAGAAATGTTGGCAGAATGTGTGCTTGTATAATTGTGCTTAGTCAAAGATATATATTTTCATTTAAAAATACTGAAAAGTGACAACAGCAATTTTTAAAAAGCTCTATTGTAGGATATAAAAGTCTCTTTGGCTGAAACCGATTTGGCTCAGTGGATAAAGCGTCGGCCTACGAACTGATCAATTCTGGTGAAGGGCATGTATCTTGGTTTTGGGCACATCTCCAGTAGGGGTTGTGCAAGAGGCAGCTGATGGATGATTCTCTCTCATCGATGTTTCTAACTCTCTATCCCTCTCTTCCTCTCTGTAAAAAATCAGTAAAATATATTTTGAAAAAGCATATTTGAATATTAAAATATTAATATTAAGGTATTAGCACAATTTAAAAACACTATTAAATTCCAAAAGTAAATTGATAGACATATAGAGTGTTGCTTTGACCCATTTTTATCATTTCAGATTTGTCTTTTTGAAACCATAGAAATAGACTATAAATTATACAGTTCTCTTAGTTACTATAAAACACAATTGTTTGGCCTAGCAATGGAAAACTAATAATGGCAAATATGTAAAGGAAACTTTGAAATAAAGAATAGTGCTCCAAGGAGGCGTTGGGTTATTTTAAATGAATGAGGGGCAGGCCCACTCACTATGTCATAGATAGCCTCTGAATGCAGTGGCTGAGATAGAGACCTGGAAATCAGGTAAAGGAGTCAAGTTGTCATGAAATGATTGAGAATTCCATATAAATGACTAGGTAAATAAACTTCTCACTAAAGTGAAAGGAGTAGTTTATCAAACAATTTATATTTATTGCTTTTTGTCCAGTAATACTGATTCGATATTTAGAACAAATAAAGGTAAAAATTGGCCTTGTTAACACTCATGTCGACAAAATAATTATAAAAGAAACTAAATAGAAGATGCTCATATTTTAAACAAATATCGGTATCCTAAAGGACATTTTAATTTGTTTTCTTGTCTTCTAAACAATTATCCAAAACAACAACCAAGAAGAATAGACTGAACTTGAATTGATTGCTTCCACATTCTACACTTCTGAGCATTTAAAATATTTATTGATTTGATAACTCTTGTGACTGACTGGTTTAGTGCTCAACATGAATACTACCAGCAAAATTAAATGGGGCTTAAGATATTTTTAATGACTATTTTTAAAATGTTGAATGTGCTTCAAAATAAGTCTATAAAATAGACTCACATTTAGAGGGCTTAGCTCAATTATAGCCATTCACAGTATCTTTTATAGACAGGTAAATGTCTTACTTGATGCTGATTTGTATCAAAAGAAAAAAAAACACATTAAATCAGCAGTCAAAAATATTTTTAATAGGAAAATAATGTATACTAACTTTGTGAGTACTTTGTGAAAATTTGGTACAAAGCTACACACTTAAAGTCCCTTATACAGAGGTATTATTTAGATAACAAATGTCTAAGAGTTAAGGATTTTTATAGGATCCAGCAAGTTCCAAAGCCCTCAAGTGAAAGCAGTCATCTTTAGAGTACTGGCAACAACAATACATATCCTGAAAGTCAATAAAATTCCTGAGTGTTTGAATACTTCTAATTTCTAAGGGCATGTTAAAAAAAAATCACAATTTGAATTTTGATAAGTTTATTTTTAGCTATGTAGCATTCAAAATGATAATGCTTGGTCAGCCACAATGATTTATTTTAAATATTAATGATTGCTTTGTATTTCATGTTTGATTCACTGTTGGGGTTTGTACCAAATCAATTTTTTTAAATGCCATAAATTCTATGACAAAATAAGTATTAAATATTATAAAAACATCAATACCCAATTTAATTTTTATGCTTCCAAAACTTCACCTCGATAATTTAATTTACTACTGTGGATAGCTTATCAAATATATATCTCCATGAAAACAAAATTGTTTAGCAAGGATTCATTTAATCATAGTTGTAATTCATGGAATTGGCACTTCTGCTGGCCTGCTTGTGGGTTTTTATTTCGGAAAAACTTTCTTACCATATTATTATTTTTTCTATGAGATTTAATTACTAGCATTCTGGGAATTATTTTAAATCCTAGGATTACTCTAGTTACTTCTATATAAGTCACAGCTAGGACTGCATTAAAAAACAAACAAACAAAAACACATAAGCCCTAATTAGAACCAAGATGAACTGACAGAATCAATGGGCCTTTCTAGATGCTCCTCTTAATACCATGTAAAGTCCACGATGGGATGAGAAATGTCAAGTCAACATGGTATATAGTTAGACTTATGGAGTAAATCAAAATTCTGTGTCATAAGAAAGTTGGAAAGACGGGGAAAAGATATTAATAAAATAAGAAGTGTTTTATTGGTTATAGGTGGCAATACTTTGAAAAGCAGAATATTTTCATTTATCCTTTGAAAATAAAGGATATCCATATAATCTTGTTTAAGTAAACTCCATATCCTGGACCAGTGTTGCTCAATGGTCGAGCACTGACCTAAGAACCAGGAGGTCGTGGTTTGATTCCCAGTCAGGGCACATAACCGGCTTACAGGCTCAATATCCAATAGGGGGCCTGCAGGAGATAGCCAATCAATGATTCTCTCTAGTCCATGTTTCTCTCCTTTATCCTCTACCTTGCTCTCTGAAATCAGTAAAAATACATTTCAAACAAAAACCTCTATAATTTCTACCAAAAAAATATTCACTCTGATGAGACCAAAGTACTTCAGTTATTCTACAATGTTTACTACAGTTATCTGAATAGGTGTAATTCCTTATCTATAAAATGTCACTTATTTATGTGATATTTAAGCAAATCAACAGAAAATATTATTTTAAAAATCTAAATTATATTGCTCAAGAAACACTTTACATCAGCTTTTAGTTTTGTCCTTCCTTTTACAGGGTGTGGGGTTCTTTTTAAACAAATATCAAATGTAAAAATGAAACACATTTTGAAATTGGGTAAGATATTGACATATATTAGAAAACATGCAAAATGGGCACAGAAAGACTACAGGGGGGAAGATTGTTAGTTCAAAGAATATGGACAAATTTGCCAAAACGCGGAATGAAACATATCAAAAGTCAGTTCAAGAAAACAAAAATAAAAAGCTTCTCTTTTAAAACATTGTAATGGTTGGTATCAAAATGTAAAACAACATTCATCTTTAAAAAAAAATTAAAAATGTATATTTATATGCAACAACAAGCAAGAAGACAAAACACATCAAAAACGAGAATTAAAAACAACTCTTCAAAAAAAGACAAGAAGTAAAAAAATAGGAAGGGGTGGAAAAAGTGATTGAGGCCCTTGTCATGCAAGTAAATTTGGTGGGGAAAAAATACCTTCATCTTCAGCACCGTCATTATCACCTAAATCATCTGTCTGTTTCTTTGTAAGGGGACCTAGGATTGAGAATGGAGAAATGGAAGGAAAAAAAAAGACAATTCAAGAATAAACAAGACTGAGGGGGAAAAAAATAAATGTAAATACTAAAATTCTCAAGGATATTTCCAAAAAAAGTTGGGAAGTGGTTACATTAAAGTTATCTATTTTGTTTAAGAAAAAAAAATTTAAAAAAATGTTTTCCCCAAAATATCTTGTAGAAGATTTGATTTGTGAATATATCCAGCTTTTAAAAATACAGTATGGTTTGAAACTCAAATCATAAGCAAAGAAAATGATTTTTTAATACCCATTGCATATAAAAAAGTAAACAGTTTTATTAGCTGAAAGAACTTAATTTATCCAGTGTCTTTTCTAAATAAAAATGGTGACAACAATAAAAAAGTAGGCTAAATTCATTCTTTAATTTATGAATATATAATAACATTAGGAAAATCAAAGATAGGAACATTTTTAGAATGTTTTTTCCTTTTTCTTCTTTTTTTTTTGTAAGAGCATTAACACTTGGGTTTTATATATTTTTATATCAAACATTATTCAAAACTGTGACTTTTTAAAATTACTTTTCATTAAACAAATATTTCCCCATGTGTTTTAATTAAATATTAGATATGGATTTAAGACATTTGCAAACTGCACAAATGTAGAAACAGATAATCTCATCACTCAGTAGGGCAAAGGTGCCATCAATGGAAGTCAATGGTTAGCTACTAAGGTAACTTTCAAAGTCAGGACTTAGGTACATTTCATAATCAATTCGGGAATATAATGGAATTATGCCCTAGTGCAATTCCATGCCCAGCATACTCATTTATAATGAGATCATGTCTTAAGACAATAATTGTATTAAAACACTGTGAATGTTTAATAAATGTTTTATTGTACTTAACAATACTAATTTGCTAGAATGAAGGAGCACACCAAAGGGGAAGTTGAAGGCCATATAAAAGTAATTTTAAATGTCACAGAATTGACATATTCAGCACAAAAAAAGCAAGTGAAGCCCCATATTTCTTTTTGTTTCTGCAACCATTTAATTTGTATGACATTTCATAATCCTCATGCAAAAAGCAATCATTACAAACACAAGACAATCAAGTTAAAGACAGCCAACCCACATAGCAGTAAGCAAGAGAATTTTGTCATGCATAAGATAAGTCATAGAAAAGGGAGGGGAAAAGATTGATAGGCATATGTTGGTTTCAATAATGTAAACAGTAAAGAAGCAGGCATTAATTCTAAGCATATTTCATAAGAAAGGATTATTAAATATTTTGAGAAAGATTTCTAGTCTATACAGTGATTACTACATATTAAGCTTATAATTTAAAACTACATCTAATATCACAACCTTCAAAAAATAAAAAACACCATCACAGAAAACAGAGAAAGAAAATGAGATCTAATTCAGTTATGTTCCATCAGCTCAGCCAGGGAGCCTTGAAAAATATTAATAATTGGCAAAGATCAAAAGATTGGAAATGGAGAAATTGATAATGTAATTGAAATAACCTCAATTGTAAGGTCATGGTTTCAAGATCATTCCAACTACACTAAGAGTAGCCGTACACAATAATTTATGCGATATACTTCTATAGTCACTCCTGCAAGCAATTGTTCCATTAAGAGAAAACCAAGATGAAAGCAAAAGTTTATTTTACCAGACAGTTGCAAATTCACATTTTAATCTAATCCTGTTTAAATGCAAAAAGAGCCCTCAGTATTATTTGATGTTCATATAACACTGTTGCTACATTTCTGAAAAACAAATATTTTAAATTTTAAATTTGCTGTTATCAGAACTATATTTGAAATTTTTCCAATTTTACAACATGCAAAATATCAAACTTAATGAGTTATATTCTCAAGTGTTTTTTTTTTTACTTTTTTATCATTACATAAAGCAGTGAATGAACAGACTTCAACAAACAATTTTATTGCATTTCTAATTTCAAGTATTCTATCTAAGAGTTATTTTATTCATTGATTAACAACACAGATTAAGTATAGTGGTAATTATTTACCTTTAAAAACCACTATCTACTTTATTCATTTAAATCACTTCATTTGCTTAATCCTTGGCTATATTAAGAAACTACTAATGTGAGTTGGATTTTGTTTTCTCTGAATCTCATGTAAAAACTATCACAATTAAATTAAGTTGTTTTCTTCATTTTGTATGTGGTTTTATAAGATATTTTTTTGGAAAGATCTTTCTTTCCTTTCTAGGGTACCCAAGATAATTTACATGATTTCTTTACTAAATCCTTTAGGTTCATAGCCATGAACGAGTAACCCAGATATAGAATTACTAGTTCATTGTCTAAATAAAATGTGATAGTAAGATAATTTTTATTAAACCATTAGAGGCCCAGAGCATGAAAGTCATGCCCCGGGGTAAGGGGAAGGAGGTTCCTTAGCCTGTCCTGCGCCCTCTCACAGTGCAGGATCCCTTGCTCCTTACTGCCTGCCTGCTCACTGCTTCTTACCACTCAGCTCTCTGCTCCTTACCACTCAGCTCTCTGCTCCTTAGCGCTGCAGCCAGGGCTGGAGTGGCTCCCACCACCACCAATGCGCTCTCCAGCTGTGAGCCTGGCTTCTGTCTGAGCAGTGCTCCCTTTAAGGTCTCTTAGGCCTTTATTTTATAGATGACCTTCCACTTGTCTGAATAGGGGCTAGTTCTCAGTTGCTTTCTGACTCTTGGTCTGCCTAAGCAGAGAAGCCAAGGAAATGATAGTGTATATACAAAGAGGACTTTTCCGTGGCTGGAATGGTCAACCCAGCTTTTTGCTATATGTTTATCACCACCTTCCCTACTCAGGAAGCTGCATGCTTCTTAATTATTCTGGGACCATCATCACATGGGAAAGATGCATAGGATGCCTTTTACTGTAAGAAACCTGAAGAGCTAGAAACAGGTGCAGATATTGCTTCAGCATCACAAAGAGATGGGGCATGATTACCTTAGAAATGAATTAAGTTCTCTCAACTAAAGAATTTCATTTACTGAGTATTAAATAAAGCCTTATTATGAGGTGATATTAAGTAGTTCCCATACTACGCGTCCTAGCGATTTCTTTTTTATTTCAATATAATTGGCTTTTCTTAATATCAATAATTTTTTACACATTTGAATTGTTAAAGTTTCCTTTAAAAAAAAGGACTAATTATAAAAAGAGAGAAAACATCATTTATCTTCTATACGTAAAGGCACTGAGCATCCATATCCTAGAGGGGCCATGTTGCAAGTTGAGAAACAACATTGGTTTCTCTGAAGAAGCCTTAATAGAGGCACCAGTGAATTATAGAAACATATCCCAACATGGTCTCGATTCCTCATTCCCAGGGTGGAAAGAAAACAACCCATTGCTTTAAATGCCCTTCTCTCTAGCTCATTTTTCCTTTATTCTAAATGGCCACGAGTGACATAATTACTTATGTTAAAAATGTTTAAATAGGAAGAAAATATTGAAAGAGGTAACTGTCATTCATTTTCTTAAGAATACTTAGGCAACTGCGTTTTAGGGACCACTCATTCCTGCAAGTCGATCAGTCTGATTTTCCCAAAGGGTAAAACATTTATCCTCCCACAGAAATAACAATCGTTAATAACACTCCAACCACAGCAAATGTCTCCTTTAAACTACAAATAGCGCATTTTCAATACCAGCTGAGTAAATGAGTAACTCAAAGCACCAAGGTACAAAGCAAGCGAGTCCTCTAAAGCCCACGTGTAGAAGTGATTTATTCTGCCTTGAAACTCCGTAGGGTCTGTGCTCCTTGAGGAATGCACACATAACTCTCATTAGAGCCAATGGGAAAGCAGACCTCACGTCAGTTTAAAAAGGAGTGAGAGTAATTACTATATTGTATCTCTTCGCCAGGCAATAAATAGAATCCATGGTGAAACAACAGGGCCAAAGAAAGTAAAGGGAACTCTTAACTGTGAACTTTGAACTCATTTAAATCCAAACAAAAAGTTATTTTCCCACTAACATAAGCAGGATTCAAAGTATCGGCCATTCTAATGGACATTCTTATATTTCAGAATCTGACCATGCACCTTTTATTAAAAAAAAAAAAAGAATAAAAATATCAGCATTTCTCTGTAGTTAACTGCAAAATAATTATGAGCTCCAAAATAATTACTATCCACCCATATTAATGCTGCTTTTTATCATTCCTTTTAATGAAGGGCTAATGTACTTTAGATCTCAAATACATTAGAACTGATTATAAGCCCCTTCATTATGGGTTCAATTCAGCAGAAATCATCTGTACTTTGTGCCACACAAATCTGTAAGAGGCAGGGAGGTGGGGATATTGTTAGATCTTGACTTAGAAAGCTGGCCATGAGAAATGTGTCCTTCTTAAGAGAAGAAGTCTTTGAAATGTTGGGGATTATTTAGAGCTCCGGGCTCCAGTGAGCCCCATCTTGATAGATGGAGAGCCCTGGTTAATGACCTTGCTTTCCTTTTTACACCACTGTCTTTACCCAGCAGCCTTTGAGATAAACTGACACTAAAGAATTCCTAAGGCCACTTCCACAGAATGGAAGAACTTAAGGATTTTCCCATTGTTATTCTGGAACAATTGAAAGCAGGCAAAATCTTTTTTTTTTAATTTCACCTTTTATTTTTATTTTTTTCTTTATGTTGATTAAGATATTACATGTGTCCTTATTCCCCCATAGTCCTCCAACCCCCCACTCATGCCCTCACCTCCCTGGTGTCTATGTCTGTGGTTAGGCTTATCTGCATGCATACAAGTCCTTTGGTTGATCTCTCTCTCTCTTACCCCCACCCTCCCCTACCAGGTGAAATATTTTCATGGATGTTCTTAGTACAAATTTAGTTTATAAAATTAGGGCCATGGATACAAAAACAAACAAGAAAAAAAACAAACAAAAAAAAACACCTAATTATGTCTGTTCCATATGGTGGACAATGCCACAATTCAATACATTTTTTAATTAAAATTGCAGTATATTATCATATTT